TCAGTGTCGAGAACCAAATTCATGGTGGAAGCACGCGCTCCTCAGTGGGAACTATCTGTCAGGCTAGATTTGACTCTTGGTCTACATAAGTTTAAACAAGTTGAATCTGCACTAGCTATTTCTATTTTAACTATTTTTATTCTAGCTTTCCTATAGTAACTTCGTTTTCACATAACTGTGAGAATATTTATTTTATCTGTCTGGTGAGTAACCTGATAATTATAGGATCCACGTTCAACTTTGTTTACTAAAAGTACAGAGAAGAAAGGTAAACAGTGTAATACCTTTAGACGATGCCTATCTCTTTTTGGGTTTTTTTTTTTTTTAATTGAGCAATTTCTTTTACTTTACCTTGAGGAATTACAACTATCCTCCAAAATGTTTATACGTCAGAATTTAGAATTTTGAAAGATAAAATCTGCATTTAAATATAAAATGCTTTCAAGGGGGTATTTTTCATGTACAAGTCACTCTGTGGGCTGCCAAGTACATGAAAAATCCCCTCTTGAAAGCATTTTATATTTAAATGCAGGTTTTATCTTTTAAAATTCTAAATTCTGGCTTGTAAACAGCCTTCTGATGTGGACCACAGAACGTTTTGTGAGTTAGTAAGCGAAGTGACCTGAAGTAATTCAGAGTTACAGTGCTCTAAAGACTCCCAGCTTTCCCTGACAAGGGAAAAAGTGGGGAAGACGTGGATCTTGTTTCTCATTGCCTACTGATATATAGATCACTGTGATAATGGCCATCAAGAATCACTGCTTTGCTGCAGTTCAGAGGGGGAAGAGATACAAGGTCAAGGAATAACCTGTTTGTCTGATTTGTTTATATACACCTCCAGCTCTTAGGAGTCTACAGGTCATGAATATTTGAAGAGGACCTCATGGTGAGCAAGGCTCAGACACTGCCAGAGTTTGACTCCCAGCCATAAAGAGGCTGCCTATTTTCTAGAAAGAGAAATCTTTAGTCCCTGAAGTTACTGGTGGCAAAGAGAATCCAAAGTTGAACGCCCAGAGATCATGACAACCAGCAGCAAATATAAATACATGTATACAGACAAGTACTTGCATACACACTAGAGATGTGAGTCCTGGCCCTGGAAGCTGAGTGTATTGTCCAGAGCAGAAACTGTATCTGGATCTTTGGGTTCAAGTCCTTTAGCATCTCTACCTGAGCTAAATAAATCCCTTTTGTTATGCACAGAGGCAGCAGCCATCTCCTGAACAGCACCATGCAAGTCATTGTCTTTTCATGTGACATTCCAAAAAAAGAGACAGAAAATTAATTTGCTTAGGTGCTGGTTTTGAGTTTGCTGTGATTTTGGGGGGATTTTTAAACAGTTTTAGGACTAAGAGAAGAAAATGACAAATGCAACGTTTTGGATGTGTTTTGAGCAAAAAAACACTGAAACTTTTTTTTGCTTTTTGCAAATGTGAAAACAAATTGTTTTGACTTGATTGGATTTTTTTTTTCAATTTTGTGGAAGCAGTTAGGCAAAAGCTACATAAATTCATAGATTTTTTGTCAATCAGCCCCTCCTAGTGAAGATATGTATTGAGCAAAAAAAAAAAAAAAAAGTCCACAGATATTCTTAATTTTATTGTGGTTCAGCCAGTAGACAGAGAGAGACAGCAATCACCAAATAAGAATGAATTACGAACTGTCAGCCAGCTTGAATCAGTTTTCCGAACTAGGGCCCTGCAGCCTGATCCTGTGGAAGATTTAGGCAAAGCTAGCTTGCTTTCTCAGAGGAACAAAACAGAGCCCTCTTCATGCAGCTTTCACAAATGCACTGCACACAGATTTGAGATCTCTGCAAGGATAACAAAGTGTGTTACCGTCTTGTATTTCCTCATTTCCTTACTGCCTATCCCCAGAGAGAGGAATCACCCATCTGTCGTCCTCTCTGAACAGGACGGTACAGGACCACCCGAGGATCTCTCTCACGTGAGGAAACAACAGTAAATGATGCACTGCTATTTTCCCTGCAAAACAGCCAGAAAGGAAGCGCTGGCACTCATAATCCCACTTCTGCCTGGGGCAGATACTCTTTGCAAAAGGGAGCTAGTGGCTGGTCTCTGTAATACGTAAGAGCAAGGGTTGACTCATACTCTGTGATAGTCTTGATCATGGAGCTCTGCTTGTGGGGAAATCTTGCAGTTTCTTGAGCACAAATATTTTAAAAGCATAGCAGGAGGCCTTCCATATATGTATGCAAAATAACAGGGGGAAAAAATGACCGTCGTCTGGAATTTTGAGGAATTCAGTGGGGCCATGCTTGGGATGCAGCTGGAGTATGTAACATTTGAGTTGAAACTGGGGAGCAAGAGACCTACCCATTTATCCCCTCTCCCACCCACATATTTCTTCTCCCTAAACCTGAAGAAATATTTGTAGGACTTGGAACGAATGAGCACGGAAAGTTAATCTGCATCACAAGCTGTCTTTTTCTGCTGATGGATGGCAAAGTATTTGGCTGAGCTGTGTGCATTCCTCTTCCTGAGCCCCATGACAACATTGCTGAAACATTTGTTGATCCAGTAGCCATGGAATTAAGAGGACACTTAAATCAGGACTGTCTTTACACATGCCAAAGTGCTGTTGAGGACTGCAGATGTACAAGCAGCTCCTTATTGTGCAGGCTTCGACCCTGGACTCCATGCACATCATTGGTTCTCTGAGACAGATAAAGCTCTTCTCAGCGTATTGACGACATTTTCCAGCAAGACTGACCTTAACCTGCTGTCTTCATCTATTTATAGATGTGGGAACTATGATTAATCATACAGTTTCCAATTCTGGTTTACTGACAGTGAGCTAGTGCTCAGGGGCAGCTCTCACCTTGAAGAGAGCAGGCACCATCCCCACCAGAACTTTTTAACGCTCCATAAAATTACTTTCCTCTTGCGCTAAGTGCAGATAGCGCACGTGCGAGCACGGCAACACTATGGAATAGGGAGCATATAGTGGAACGGAAAGTATACTGCACCTGCCTGTTGAGATCCCCACCAGATTAAAAGTGTTAGAGCCACCACGCATGCTGGTCTCAGTCTGCAGAAAAGGCTCCCTCAGAAAAGTCATCGCAGGTTCAGCCAACCTCTGCTTTCATCTTGTTCCACATCTACTGAAGCATGACTGGTCTGACTACATTACAGCTGCCTGCTCTTCCCAGAAGGTCTTTAAGGTTAGACAGGAACTTAAACCCACAATTCCCAGCTCTGGTTACTCACCCCCATCTAACCATTTCTGCTTTACTCTGAAAGAAAAGGTTATTTCCAACCACATTCCTCTTCTGAGAGTGACACTAAAATTCCGAGTGATGGCCACCCTTCCTAGACACTGAGATCCTGCTGAACAGCCCCGTACTGAAAACAGGCTGATCATCAGAAATAGTAACGTGGTACTTTGGGGAAGGTGAAAGGTTAACGCGCTTTGGAAGAGCTGCTGAGTGGCAGGAAGATTCTGGTTTAGCTGGTAGCACAGCTGTGTGTTAAAGCAGACCTACGGGTCCTTCCTGGCAGATAGGTCTTCTCTGAGTGGTGAGAAAGGTGCTAACGTGCGCAGCTTATTGAACGGGAAGAGACCATGGCTGAGGCTTGGCAGATAATGGCTTTCAAGGGCCAACTTTAGGCCCTCAGAGGTGTCATTTCCATTCTCTGCAGCAACCAGAGTAAACGTACTGTGAAGAGTGATGGTGCTCCACAACGTAGGGAGGAAGAGCATGTGCTACTACCTCTTTTTACTCTGGATAGTTTGCTCCCTTGCTCTGCAAATTTGCGCTTGGGAATTAATTAGACATTTTTTAGAAAAGAACCCGAAACAGGGATTTTTTATTTCATATGTAATTTTTTCATCCAATAAATACTGATGGTGATTAAAACAGAACAATTCCTCTTATTAGGGAAAAAAAAAAAAGGAAATTTACTAATTTATCTCACAGGTTAGTTTTACAACGCTGTGTTTTTCCAGTTTACATTGTTTGGCTCTGTTCCCTAGCCTGCAGGTTTCATGCGACTCAAATATCGGCAGAAGACCTCTTCAGGAGAGGATCATGCTCGCCAGGGCTGAGTAGCTTATCTCCTTAGGGGGTCGGAAAGAGCGTTTAAAAAACCCACACGAAAGCAAACCTCAAGGTACGCAGGCGTATTCTGTGAAAGCAAACCGCTGCGGACTAGCGCTTG